GGCATGACTATATACGCTCCTCCCCATGTACTAAATCTACATAATACAACCGACAATAAGTTCGTCATGGCCATCAAACAAGAGTCCGACCACCACACCACTATCAGCCCTGCCACGGGCATCCAGATCGTCCCTCTCGTGATCTATGCCTAGCCTACCAGAATATGTCTAGTCTATTTGGCTACCCTTTGGTGCCTTTATATAATAGGCTCAGGTTACACAGTTTGACTCAAACACATAACTCTCTGCTAATTACAAGTCGAATTGTAGCATGACTTGTACAGATAATATTCGACGCATATTTTAACATATTTGTTGGGTTAGTCCCACATCGGTTGGGGTAGGAGACAGAGCATGACTTATAAGGGTGGCGGTGCCCCTCGTACCAGGCTAGTCTTTTGGAAAATAGCGCCCAAACCCTGGTATAGCACGTGTTGCTCTTCGGATGGGCCTGATTAATGGGCTGATACGCGCCTGTAGCAGGCCCATGACACACATGGGTCAGAATCACTGGTTAGCGGACCTAGAATTGCGTATCAAAGCCCAAGTACTTGGAATAGAAATCTTGATGGACTTATGGGCCGGTTGTGACTGGTGGGTGGGCCAGAACGCTTGTGTAGCAGGTACATGATGCATGTGAGTCAAAAATGCTGGTTAGCGAAACTGGGATTGCATAGCATGAATTACACCATTTGTCAAAGTAGTTTCTTTCCTGTGGGTTTTGACTTCTTGATCGGTTTTGTCACCTTGATGTAAGGACAAGTTTCAGTAAAAGCTTCCACGCTGAAGTTTGAGTGATATGCTGGCAAACTGGTTGGCTTACTGGACGGTTTACAGCCCTGAAAGTCTGGCGGTTGGAAGCTGAAAATTGGGAGGGAAGACTAAGAAACAAGTACAGCTAATAGCTAAGAAGATGGCTCGACTTCTTTAAGAAACAGGCAGAATGGAAAAGGCTAGGACCTCTAGAATAGGTTTTTTTTTTTTTGAGGGAGACCTCTAGAATAGGGTTATGTGTGGAAGAGAATCTACAGCTAATACAGCTGTGGAGACAAAGTTCAGACTACAAGCAACAGTAAGATTATGATGAACGTGTGGAGCAGCTGAATTTTCAAGGCACAAACATGTGCCACTAATCGTTCATGGTGAGGTTGCTGCTAATCTGCTATCTTGTTGAGTTATGCACACATTGTATTTCTCTGAGAAAAGAAAGGGCATACTGTACACAAGAATGCTGGAGAGCTGCACTTGTTCTTTTTTCTAGGAAAAAAATTCTATTAACTACTTCGATTGAAAGTTGAGAGATCTCACCTTATCTGAACCAAATGGTTTCACAGTTGACTTTGTATGTATCTTTCGTAAAAAAAGGAGGAAAGGTCAACTGATCCATCCGTGACCCATTCATCCTGATCCCCTTCGAGCTCTTTTAATCTACTGTATCTTCTACTTCCTTCATCTCATAATGTAAGACGTTTTTTGACACTAGTGCGAGGGCTTTAGCTGTTCTTTACTGCAGCGCGTAGATATTCTCGTGGATTGGCTGACGAGGAACTCTACTGGTGCTGAACCTGCTGTCCAATGCAAGCGATGATGTGCACCCCAAATGCTAGAATACACCAAACACAAGTGTCCGATCTCCATCACCATGCACTGTCATCTACTACTACCACATGATCTACCGGTCCCTTTTGAGTTAAATAAATAAAATACTCCACCGGTCACCGGAGTTCGGTGCCGACTCCGTTCTGACGTCCCATTCCCCTCAACACACCACCACACCACACGCAGAAGAGGAAATGCACCACAAATCACAGCGCACCCAGAGAAATAGACAAGGGGAAAGTCAGAAGCAAGCCCATAATCATCATGCGGGCAGAATGATTGGCTTCAGCGCGTTGTACGCGCATCGCACACCCGCAAGCTCCGTTTATCTATCTATATGTATCTATTTCCGGACGGTCAACTGCCTCTGCATGGCAACGCAAAGCGAGCCGGAGCCCTACCTGACGGTGGCGCGGAGTTGAATACTCCGCGAAGAAGACGGCCACGAAACGCGGTGGGAGGGAGCGGCGGAAGTGGCGTCCGTCCTGACGGGCGCACTATTCCACCAAGCGCGGGAAACAGGCGGTGGTGCGCATTGACCGCCCGACTGGGGTGGCGCCGACGGCGATGGCCATGGCCTCCCGCGGAAAGCTACTTCCAGCTTTGGAAGAAAGAAAACTCAAAGCGCTCGCACACATCCGTTTGTCCGGCTCACGGGAGGTTATCAGCAGTAAGTGGCCATTAGGATTAGGATTAATTAGAACTCACAAGAGATCGTGCATGTTCTTGGCTGACCTCACAGCGTAGCGCCAGGAAGGCTCGCTCTCTTGCTTCCTTTGACTGGCAGCTCTCCTTTTTTTGCTCTGAAGGCGTGGCTTGGGCACTAAACTAGCGCTAGATTGGTTCCGAGCCATGTGAATTGCACCGCTTAATCGCTGAGTAGGTTCTTTGGGATAGCGCTATAAAAAATGATTAGGCTTTGCTTCCCTGCTCGATCGTTGAGCTAACCAATTTGTTTATGGCCTCTAGGTACCGAACCGCATCAACGGCGACTAGGCGCCATGTGGATTCACACTGTCTGGTGCCATGCCTGTAGATGGATTGGGCCACTTGGTCAAAGGGATCCTGGTTTCTCAATCTCACGTTTTTAAGATTCCAATTGAATGAATCTCAGTTCGATGGAGAATGCTTGGTGATCCTCGTTGCAGTGTTTTGACTTTTCTTGTCCATATAAATTCTGTTTAGCCGGAGGTAAGGATTTTTTTTTTTTTGCGAGGGTAAGTTGCCTGATTTTAGAATCTGGGTCAATCAATTTGGGGGAGAAGGAAGCAAGAGGCGAGGGCCTCGGTTAGAAACGAACCGTAGCCGACGACAAGTCGACCAAGGTAGGTTTGAAGGTTAACAGTTCGAGGTATACAATGGTGGAGACAGGGAGACCAGCATGGGCCCTGGTCCCCCCTAACAATATGGATGTAGTATTAATTTGTTGATGAACAGTGCAAAAATCAATGATTTTCTATTGTTAAAACCCTATTTTTTATTGTCTTGGCCCTTCCCAGCCTGTTTTAACAGCCTTCGGCCCTAGTGATACAATTTTCCCGGGTCCGCCACTGGAGGTACATGCGGAACATGCTCGTCGTGAAAGTCTGGTGGTGCGTCAATTTAGAGGGATGACCGGGGGTGGGCCACACATAGATGGGCGGCGATGAAGGGAGAGCGAGGCAACGATCTCCGCCAGTCGCCGCTGGGGTCAGAAGTAGGCGGTTTGGCTTAGGTTGCATCTGCGGAGGTTAGAGAAGAAGAGGAAATAAAACATTTTGACGCGACTAAAGCTTACCACTCCCATGTAAATTTGACCGGCCATACATAAATCGCATTATTTTGGGTAAAGTCAATTTTCGGGTCATTGGATTAAATATCCAACAGCCGTCCTATTTCATCTTCCTTCTCTTATTGTTTCTCCTCCCACGAAATCGATCTACCCAAATTTTACTTGTGGGCGCAGCGAGGCCCTCTGCACGCTCATCGATCTGGTCAGGCCCTCCCTTGCTCTGGATCTGGTGTTGCGAGCTCCGGGCCGATGGGCCTGGTCTAGCTCCTCTGGTGGTGCCGGGGCGGCGGCCCCGGGTTTGGTGGTGGCGGCTTCGGCCCGGGGCAGAGTGCATCTGGGCACGGCGGATCAGGTGCCCCCTGGCTAGATTGAAGTCGGCCTCGACATGTTCTGCGGTGGTTGGTGGGCCGCAGTTGGTGGTCTGTCGTGTGGGATGCAGGTGGTCGAGGCATCTCCGGGAAAAATCCTCTTCTCCGGAACCGGCGACGGTGGCGCCCGTGGGTGTCGTGATCTTTCCTGAAAACGTCGTTGTGGAGGTGTGGTCACCCCTCTCCCCGCGGCCTTGGCTCCGGAGGGAAACATCTGATCATCTGGATCGGGCGATGGATGCGTCCTAGTGCCTTTCTCCTCCTTGGGGGCATCGTCTTGAAGCAGACTGCAACTAGGAGACCAATGGTTGTTGGTGGCTGGTTCGTCGAGGCCAGGGGCGTCAATGTCTGTTTGGCAATGATGATGGTGCCAAGATGAGTTAGGGTCGCGACTCGGGCTCTGGTAGTCGGTCTATCCGGCGTGTCCGATGTGCTATTCCGTGGTTGCTTGGTTGTTCTGGAGTCGAATCTGCGGTGGATTGTGTCCAAGTGGTGATGATGATAGGCACTCGGCGGTCGTTCGCGAAGGACTCGGTCGGCGCAAGCCCTGCATATTTCCCTCGCAAAGATTGTTGTCAAAGTCGAAACTGTCGTTCGCTGGCGCGTGTGGCCATCTGTTGGCATGTGGCCAGATTGGCCGGTGGTGTCCATTTTCTGGGTTGAGTTGTATCGGTTTTAGCCCGGTTTTTCACAAATTAACCTGGCAATTCTTACTCTCTCTTAATCAATGAAATGGCAAGTCTTTTGCCTCGTTTAAAAAGAAATAAGCCATTCACCGCGTGGAGTCATCCACGGGTACAACACAAGTCAGACAGGTATCAATGTGTTCAACGGCGGTAGCTGAGCGCCTACGACTTCGCCACCACCCGGTAAAGGACAGGAGAACCGTGCCGGCAAGGATTTCCTCCGTGCGTGCTTGAACAACTCCCACAAATTTTCAAAGAATCAATCGTGTGTATTCATTGTACGTACAAATCTGACAAACTTATACACCGGCCGCTCGCTGTCACCGGCGTGAGACCGGCCTCTCATGCCGGCCTCACGCCATTGCCATTGACAGTGAAGTGGCCAACGACCACTGGACCTTGGCTTTTTTCTCCCTCCAAATTTTCAAACTAGAGAAAGAACGATTACTGCTGCTGCTACAGTCCACTATAGCTGCTACTAACCCCTGACGATCTAACACCAACCCCTCCAAAAAGTTCAACTCTTCAAATCAATTGCTTTGACAAACGAACCAAAGAAGGAAGAAAGGAAAAAGAATGGGCTTTGGACAAGGTGTGTCGCCATGGCCATGCCATGGCGCGCCGTCGTTGAACGGGCGGCGGGTGGGCCGACGGCGATCAGCTGACGCGCACGGAGCCGCGCCGCCGCTCCTCGTACCAGCAGACGCAGCTGAGCGCGACGAGCACCTCCACGATCGCCGCCTCCGCCTTGTCCTTGTCCGCCCACCGCAGCGTCTGCAGCGCGTACACGCGCGTGCCGCCGTCGAACCGCCGCGTCCGGTCCATGTTCCGCTCCGACTGCCACTGCACCGTGTCGCGCGCCATCGGGCCCAGCCACGCCATGATGCGCTCCACCGCCTCCTTCCACCCCTCCGCCAGCCCGGCGTCCAGCGGCCCCGGGTCCCGCCACCAGTCGCGCAGCTTCGACCGCACCGCCGCGCGGAGCTTCCCCGGCAGCATCTCGTACATCTCCGCCCGCTCCGCGTTCGCCTCCTCCTGCCGCCCCTCAGCCTCCATCTGCAGCAGCTCCTCCGCCGACACGATCACGTTCGCGTACTGCTGGTCCAGCCCCGCGCCGCCCACCGTGCTGCCCGGCGGGTCCAGGAGCTTGCGCCAGTCCACGCCGCCCTTCTGCCCGGGCAGCGGTCTCTGGCCGATGATCGGGCACGAGCTGCTCAGCTGCTGCATCGGCGGGTGGACACGGGACGGCGCCCCCGCCCCCTCCCGCTCCCGCCGCGTGATCGGCCCCGACGACGCCTTTGTCTTCCCCGTCCGCGGGCTCATCAGCAGCTTGGACAGCCTGGTCTGGACGCTGTCGGCGGAGGTGGACGGCATCGGCGGCGGGAGCCCCGGCACGAACTGGCCGAAGACGGCGCAGATGCGGACGAACACGGCGCACGCGGCGCGCGCCATGAGTCCCACGGCCTTCTCGTAGCTCTGGCTCCACAGGGACTCCTCCTTGAGCCGCCGCACCTTGAGCAGCTGCGTCTTGATCTCCTGCTTGAGCGACTCGGCGCCCATCGAGTCGCCGGCCTGCGGCGGGTCCGCGAGCTTCATCGGAATCGGCCCGCTGAGGCGGCTCCAGCCGCGGACGGTGAGCTTCCGCTCGGCGGACTCGAGCTCGTCGAGCGCCTCCATCTCGGAGCAGAGCTTGGACGTGGCCGCCACGAGGCGCTCCATCTTCTTGGCCTTGACCTTGAGCCCCTTGGCGGCGAGCAGGTCGAGGCGCGCGTCGTGCGCGCCGGCCTTGACACTCGCGTACACCCCGGCGAAGTCGATGCCGCAGCGCAGGCCGAGGCGCGCGACGGCGGCCGCCGCGGCGTCGAGCGACAGGACCAGCTCGGCGCACGCCAGCCGGAGGAGGAACGCCTGGTCGGTGGAGTTGAGGTAGGCCACGCCCGGCGAGCGCATGGCGTCGGAGCGCAGCCGGGAGACCTCCTGCTCCGAGAGCGAGCGGTGCAGCGAGAGCAGCTTGGACATGGCCGCGCCCGCCTCGAACGCCAGTATGCCCAGCGCCGCCTGCGGCACCGCCGGCAGCCGGAAGTCCACGGGCAGCCACGAGGCCGCCTTGTGCGCAACCATCGGTCGGTCGACGGTATGCTCCTTGCCTCGCTCCCTCCCACCTAGTAGTAATGAATCAGCGGCACGGCCTGTCGGTACCTTTCTCGCGACCGTGGAGCTGGATCGCTTCGCTGTTGTACGGGCGGACAATCAAGCCATGGACGGAATGATTCGCCGAGCTGGGCGTCCTCGGCGGTGGCGCCGGCCGTCCCGTAGCAGCAGCAGCAGCAGTGCCAGCCCGTCGACGCGGTTGCGGGTACGGGCTAGGCTGGGATGGTTTGTGTGGTCGTCACAGCTCACGAACTTTGTTATATACCGCGGGCCGCCGGTGGTCTCTGCTCGGAAGTTAAGCCAGGCGCGCGGGCAATAAGATGTGGGGATGGCGATGGTGCGAGGGTTAAGTAGCTGCCGCAGCGTGCGTGGCGAGCGGAGCCGAGGAGAGGAGGAGGGAGACACGGTCGCCGGGCGCGTGGGAATGCCTGGGCGAAATGGTAGGCGCGACCTGCACGACGGAGCGAACGCCTGCCAGATTTCGGACTCGGGCCATGCTAGCTTATCATTATTCCGGGGTGGGGGTTATTCTATGCCGAAACTGGCTTTAGTTTGCCTCTGGCTCGGTCCGAGGTTACGGCTGGGTAAACCATTAACGGACGGACTGGATCGGGATCTGCTGGTTGTGCAGGTCTCGTTCCTCGCCGAGGAAATTATTAAGGGTAAAATATATATCTGGGGCGCCCGGGAATTGATCCTTTCCTGCGAAATTACCGAGACATTTTCCAAGTAGGATCGTTTCTAGTATGGCAGTATGACATCTTGGAGTTCCCTTCCGGTATAAGAAATCTGGTTCAGCCGTCCCGCCGGCCGGCCGGCCGGACGCGTGTTGTGTTGATCATGTTCTCGTCGTCGATGAAGCAAGGTTCATGGACATGGCTGTGATATTTGACAAGCCCATATCCAACATGTAAAGAGTCCATGACTAACATGGCTCGCGGCTCGCGCACATGGCTGGGTGAGCAGTCGGTTGCGTATGTGCAGGGTGCCTACGCGTGCATGCATCCTGCATGTGTGCTGTTACTTACGGACTAAGATACTGTTGTAAAATGTGAGTCGTACAACTCAATCAAATCGAAAGAAATGGGCAACTGAATCGATCCCCATATCCGACCAGTACTGTTGTACTACTATATTTACCCTCTTTTTTTCAAATCATTGTATATGTTTTTTTAACACATCATTGTATATGTTTACTCGAGCAGTGTACTAGCTTGAGTAATGTACTGTGTGTAGATATACTTTAGGATACTGCAAGTGTTTAGGTCTCCTTTGGTTTGGAGGAATTTCATAGAAATTCTAGAGGATAGGATTCTTATAGGATTTTTTCCTTTAAAGCCCTTTGGTTCATAGGAATAGATTCCTATTCCTACATAGGATTGGTTCCTATCCTCCACATTTCATAAAAAAAATAAAAATGAGCCTAGACTCAATGGAAAAATTCCTTTGGTGTTAACCAAATGACATCTCATTTCCTATTCCTACTTATAGGATTTGGGATACATGCCATCTCATTTCCTACAAAATTCATATTCCTACGATAATCCTATCCTATGAACCAAAAGAGGTCTTACTTTTCAGTTTGTGGGGTAACTGAAAAAAATCAGCATAAAGTAAAGAAATTAGTAAAAGCGCAATACGTGTTCGCTTTTCTTTCCTCGAAAGAAAGAAAAGGCCACTATCGCCGCCGCTAGGAGTCTCCCCCGCCGCTGTCGTCTGGCGGCGCCCCTCGGCCGACGACCTCGGTTGTCGGTGGCGAGGGGGGTGCTGGATCCATCTGTGTGGATATCTTTTAGACTCTCGTAGTTTAGGTTTTTTGGTTGTTCATCATCGTGGCTTAGGCGGCGACAATGGCAGCGTCGAATAAAGATTCTTTAGATCCTACTCCGACGAGGTGATCAGTCCTACGGTTGGGGATAGATTTGAAAACCAGTCTGTTCAAGTCAGGATGGCGTGGCGACGGCGACATCCTCGTGGTAGACCTGTGTCATCGGGTTTCGCCGTTGCGACAACATTTTCTCCAACGTCGGCGTGGAGCTTGGAAGGTAGTCCAGGAGCGGATGCAGATTGTGGTTTGCACCGGAGGCATCTAGAAGATGGTGGATCGCGTGCTGGGTTCGTGGTTCATGGATGGCAGGTGTGGTTTTCTCCTCCGGCGTCTTAGTCGTGTGGGGGTGGGACGTCTAGAGTTCAATGGCGTGTCCCGACTGTTACCCTGGATTGATTTGTTTAACGGTAATGCTTTCGTCTTTGGCGAGCCAGTTTGGAGGTCCGCAATGCTGCATATCAGTGATGGTGCCGCGTCGAGCTCGAGTGTGGAGACGATTCGTCATTTTTGTGGTGCCAGAGGCAGGTAACGGACATCGGTGTCAACCTCAGAGGATTCTTCGGTCTTATTTGTAATTTTACTTCTTGGTTGGTGTTTCTTTGTACAAAGGCTAACTTTCTTCTATTTTTCAGTTTTGCCAGGTCGATATGTACATAATATTCTTATGATATAAATGAGTCACACACTACAATCATGTAAACAAAAAAGGTACTACCTCCGTCCCGGTGTATAAGTCATTCGCGTAGTTCTAGGTTGATAATTTAACTATCTAAATATGTATTATATGTGACAAAAAATATATATTTAGAAACTACATCCGTGTGGAAATCTAGTGGTATACTTTTCATGACATATAACATATATTTAATTCCTCAAATCGATGACCTAGAACTACGCGAATGACTTATACACCCGGACGGAGGGAGTAAAGGAATTAGTATTATGGTGTACACATCCAAGCGCATTTAACTAGTCGGCCCGCTTCATATTCAAAACCAGTCAAATCAGTTGTGGCTTGACGTAGTTAGTTGAATTTATACTAGCTGATTGATTTAGCGGGCTGCACCCATAACAACCAAGTCGAGTACTATTTTCCATTCCAAAATAATTGAACCTTGAGGTTTCTTGTTAAGTCATACTTGTTTAAATTTGATCAAATTTATAGAAAAAATATTAATATCTAGAACATTGAATTAGTCTCACGAGATTCCTCACAAAATATATTTTCGTACTATGTGTATTTGGTCATGTATGGATCTTAGCATATATTTCTATAGAGGTTTTCATATTTAAGCAAGTTTCACTCTGGACAAACTAAAACTTCAATTATTTTGAAACGGAGGGAGGGAGAAATAGTTTTCATTTCAAGAGGCGGTTTCTTTTCGTTTGAAAAATCAGCCTACTTAGGGAATCTAAGAAGATCCCCAAAAGTCATATTTGCTGAGAAATTTTCTGGTTTAGGTGGTTAACCCATATTTAGCAGATCCCTCAAATGATTAAGCTCTTAAAATTATAGCTTTTGATCCCCAAAAGGCCACCCTCTACCCTATTTATCTCCAAGAAGGGTGACTCTTGGCAAATATAGGCAGACCGCGCCGCCCTTCTCGGCACCAAGCCACGCCGCGCCGCCCCCTTCATTACCGAAGAGCGTCCGACCCATGAATCAGTTTGCGCTGCCCTTCCGGAAATGAAGCCGCGTGAGTTTGGGGAAGCGATAGGAGCACCGAGCGAGCCCACACAGGCCAACGATGCTGGAATGGCCCTTCTTCACAAGCAATGCTACACGCACGAACGGATAAATACAGGATTTACGGGAAGGCTTAGTTGGGCTGGTTTGATTGACGAGAAAGCAGGGTTATGGGGCCACACCCCCTGAATCAGGGGGGGTGAAGATTAGTTGTAGTTGCGGAAGAAGCCCCGTAAAGCTTCATGAGCTTAGAATTTTCAACGGCAACTCGTAAATTTCCTCCCGCATCTGTCCGCTGGCGGGGGACCACTCCACGGACATGGATGCAGGAGGCCGCCATCCAATGCTAGCCGCATACATTTTAACAACAACTCTCATTAATCGGATGAAATTTGACCATATATGACCGGATTTCATATAAACACATTTGAATTTCATATAAACATGAAGGATTTCATCTAAACATGGCAGATATTATTACATTTACTTCAACTAAGCGGAGCTCGTCCGGCTAGGTCTAATTGGTCGCCTGCACCTGTTCCCCGTGTCTGGCCATGAACCAAGTGAACTGAAGCTTCACCGTCTCCAGTTCCGCCTCGGCGCTCTCCAGCTCCGCCTTCGTAACCTCCTCCTCCAGAGGCCCGGGAATTGAAGTTGTCCACCTCCACATCGCCGCCAAGCGACTAATCAGCCGACGATGTTGAGCCCACCAAGCTTGGCGTCGATGGAAGGGGGGAGCGGTGGCCTTCCTGGGACCATAGCAACGACGACCTACCATGCACTACTCTTCCTCGCTGTCGACGGTGCCCGCGGACGTGCCGACTTCATGGTCGTCATGGCGGGGCGCGGACTCAGCAATGTCCTCCTCCTCATTGTCGGTCCCACCGAACACCGCCTCGTCGTCGCACTCCTTGCCGGCAGCCGCCACCTCCACCACCCGCTGCCGGTATCGCAGCGGGCGAGGCGGATCTCGCAGGCGGAGCGGTAAGACTCCAGCAGCGCCTCCTGCTCCGCCATGTCTACGTCCGGCACGACCGCTCTGCGGTGGTGATGTGCTCCTCTGCGTGCAGATGCTCTTGGAGGAGGTGGTGGTTGTAGGCGGCGTCAACCTGCGCCTCCCGGAACTGCTCCTCCCACTCCTCCCGCGCCATGTCCATGTAATGGGCACGTGCCTCGCCAATGGTCATGGTGCAATGCACCCACGGGGGTGATGCGGAGGTGGAGCAGGCTGGCGCGGAGGAGTAGGGTGGCGCTGGTTCATAGTCGACAACGTTCTCCATTGAGACGTTGTCGTCTTCCGGCTGGCTGGCAGCCAGCCAGTCGGCAACAATGGCGTCCAGCCCCTTCTTCTGGCCCGACGTCAGCCCGTCCCAGAGAGCTTTGGCGGGGGAGGGATCCATGGTGGGAGTGGTGCGAAGATAGATCGAAGGTGGATGACGCGGCTATGACCGGGGCACCGACTTTTATAGCAATGATGGGTGGTAGAGGAACGGACGGGTG